TGTTATAAAGAAGGACCTTTAAAAGGTTATTTGTTGTTATAAAAAAGGACTATAAAAAGGACCTTCAAGCTGTGTGACAGGCACAGCCTAGGGAAAGGACCAGAACAAGGGCTCTACTTTGGTCCAGTAATGCAATCAGGAGTGAATCCAGGATCTGTGGGGTGTGAAGTTTATTTAGGCAGTTGGTGGGGGGGGGGTGTCTTAAGAACAAAGGTTCCACAGATATCTTTCGCAAACTTCACAAGCGCATGGTACACGCATTGCTAGGGCTCCTCCCAGGGCCTTGGATAGAGCCCATGCAAATGAGGGGCCCTGAGCCTTCACTAACCTCAAGGTAAGTCTACCCCTGGGAACAATTTGTTGAACAAATAATGTTGGGCTTCAGCTGTGATACCTAAAAGTAAAATCTTGTCCAACCTTTTTGCAAACGTGGTAAAATCCAGATGCAATTGGGGGCTGGTTGCATGGTATGACTCCACACACTCCTGTGATGTGATGTGGTCAACCTCAGTCAATGCGGAACTTCACATGATAATGACAGTCATAATTATATTAAGAGCACATTAACCCGATAATTACATAATGCCTGTCGTCGCTGACTTAAACGTTTTGCAAAAATCACTTTACAAAACATTTAGATGTCAGCACATGGAGATGAAAGAGCTCAATGTCATCATGCATCATTTCAAGAGTAGATAAGCTGAAAAATCCCCTGAAGAACTTTCATTAAAATACATTGTAATTTCTGTACCGATCATGAGACTGGTCATCTGCAATACGGACGTGGTTTCCTTTTCCATTAAATCTACAAAAGGGCTTGCCTACCTTTTTTCATGGTAATTTTTAACAAAAGAGCCATGACAATAGGGAGATAGCAAATACTTTGGGCAAAGGTTAGTTCTGTGTGCGAACCATATGAACTATATGCGAACTATGTGAACCAGAAAAAGTGTTTAACTCTGATGTGAATATGCTAAATGTACGATGTATTCTGGTGAGGGAAGGATATTTGTCTTTTAACTACTTAATGTTTTCAAAAATTATAAAGTCAGCAAATTATTTTTGCAATTCTATTCACTTAAAACTGTCCCAGTCCAAAGTTTCAGAATGGAATAATATAATATTTTATCGCTCCTATTTAATTAAGGAAGAAAAACATTGAAAACGTTGGACTCTAGATATTATTTGTTATCAGTGTCTCCACCTTCCTTCTATCTACTGGAACTTCCTATTTTTTTCCCCTTTTGGTTCTGACATGTTACGTCACCTTCCCTCCTTACTATATTAATGTCAGATAAATATATAAGCTTGTTTATGGGAAACATCTTTGTTAAACTGAATTATAAAATTGATGTAAAAAGGTGGCGGGGGGTGTCCAGACAGACATCAGATGATTCTGTCTGTAATGAAAGAAAAGTTGGGAGAGGAACCCATGTTTATAGGCTCTGTGGTTTGGAACACCATAACTTGGCCACAGGATTGCAAGCCATGAAAAGCTTACAGCCGACCAGAGGACTTGGCACATCCCAATGGCTGAACCAATAACTTGTATATAAATCATCAGGTGAATACACTTGACTGGGTGAAGTTCACCTGCGTGTAAAGAACTGCTTCCATGTGAATCACCACATTCAGAGAGAGAAACTAAAGGAGTTTACTAGACACACACAGGTCTAGATTATGCAAAATGTCTAAATCAGAAATATTTTTAATAGACTTACAACATCATCTCCACTGACTATAGGCACACGTTACATCCAGCAGTGAGAATCCTTCCTCCCCATACTGAAAATTCATCGTTGTGAAATTGAAATTTTAAGACATTAGCTTTGCTTGAGAGCAGTCCAAATCCAGTGTGCCTGCTTTCCCTAAAATTCTTCTATGGGGCTCGTGTTTGCCTCTTAATTATGCCAGGGGGAGTTCTTAAACATGATTTTTTGCTGTGAACATCAGAAACTCTCTCTCTTAACTGCATTGAAAAACACTGGGGAGTCACACCCTTTCTCTCACTTGCTAAACTTCCTTAATAAAGCCAACAAAAGCTTTCAGAGGTAGAATTTTATACTAGCAAATGTCAATTCAGACCTGTTAAATACAGTGAGCAAACCTGCCTGCTACAGCAAGCATTCCACCCAAATTGACTAGGTGTGGCTTTTATTCATTGTTCAGTTACACTGAACAGAATCTGTTCTCTAGCTACCATCTCATTTAGGTTGACATTCCCTTTATCTGGGGGCTTATAATAAGCAAACCATACTCAATTTTCCAAAAGCAGATGTGCTCTTTTGGTATCCTAGAAACAGATCAAAGTATGCTTTGTGGAAAGACCTGAAGTTCAAGCCAGTGATGCCAAATGGGTCTTAATATGCAACCATACAAATACCAGGACTGGAAAAAAAATATCGACATTGGAAATTTAAACAAAAGCTTGACTATTTTAGGAAAAAGAATCAGATGACCAGGGTGGTGGGGGGTTCAAAAGGATAGAGAGATATTTGGGGAGCATAGGTCCACGAAAAATTAAGTAAAATCATATATTATTTCTATAGTAATATCAAGATCCATAATAAAGAACACTTCTTTCAAATCAGACTGGCAAATGTCACTTAAAATTGCTCACACTAGTGCAATTACAAAACGCCTAGAAAGCTTTCTAGACCACAAAATAGGATCATATCAATCATCTTGGGGTTAGTTTTTTGTATACATAATAACTGCAGAAATTAATCTTTTATCAGTTTATCACATCACAACAGCTATTGTTAAATAATCTACAAGGTAGAAAAGCAATTTCCAATTGTTCCCTGGGGTCTTCTAAGTAAGGTTTTGTATCTTACAATATGCTATAAAATAAATTGTACTCCTGTGAGTCATATCAGTCATATTCTGCAGCCTGAAATCTGAAATTCCCCTCATTGAAGAAAAAAGGGAAATGTATTCTATTATAGAAAGCATGGAGAATCAAATTAGAAAGCACAAGAGGCTAGAAAACTCAATGGATCTCTCATTGGACTCTAAAAAAAGCCACTCCCTATTCTCCAGGGTGAGCCAGCATGATCAATAATGCATGAATGGTTGAGATGGGGAATGGAAAGACTCTCCTGGAGGCTGAATAGAAGATAAATAGTCTGCCTTCTGCCTTTACTCCTGCTTTATCCCAGACCCTGCTCTCTGATTTCCTGAAACAGGGCATTTGATTGATGCCCCATTGCTGTCCCTTGACCTATGAAAAAATAAAAGAAAACCACATGCTCCCACTCTATAGAAAATGCTGGGCTCAGGTGTGTGATACAATTGGGCCTCTCTTCTTTGCTCAGCCTGAAATTGGGACATCCTACAAGAGGCCAAGAGTACTAATAGCGGTGGGTGAAAAGCTCCCTTGCTTTATTGCCCTTCTACTCACATTTTCTGGACTTACCACATATGTTCATTTCTCTGTGGCTCTGTTCATACTATTCTCAGTATCTAGAACACATTCTCTTCCCTACCCCTTAAGAAATAGCAAAAAATGGAAATACTTTAGTGTGTGAAAGCTAATGAAAAAGTTTGGAGAAGGACTTCAATAATATGAAGTATTACTAAAGGTCAAAGAAGAGCTCGAGAGAGCTCACTGATGACCTTCTGGGAACTAATTTATCAATATAATTTATCACCACTGCATTCCAAAGCAAATGTTTTTGGAAAACTAATAATTATAGGAGATGAAATCTACTAATTTTGCGTAAATTTGTCTGGACCTTCTGGAAAAAGAGGATCGTGATGCAAAATTGTAGCGACTCATCAATGCCCCCACCACCTGTTTTGTTAACTATCTATAAAGATGTACCAGTCAAGAGGTGCCCTCTCGACACTGATTTCCTTGAATTCTGAGAATCAGGGCTCAGCTTTGCTGAGACCAGGTTAACCTAACCCCACATTTTCGTCACATCCAAATATTATGTATGTCTTTCAGCTTTCAGTGAGTTTATTACATAGTCATTGATGAAACGGGTAACAAATAACGACAACAAAATGCTTTCAAATTAGTATCTAGATAATGGTTTAAGGGAATGGGACACCACTGAACTAAACTTGAGACATGAAAGGGCTCAGTAGAAGAGGGACAGTTCCCAATTCTTCCCGGAAGGTCTCAGACTAAACTGCAATAGGGCAAAATCACTTTTTAAAGGATCCATTTCAACTCATTGATCCACAAAAACACTAGACACTGGTCTAGAATGAAAGCATAATCTTTTAAATTTCTGCAAAGGGAAACTCTGTGGCTGGGTTACGTTAAGCCACCATCAAATACCTGGCCAGGATTCCTCAAGAATGTCAAGGTCATGGGAAACAGGGAAAGACCGAGAAACGGTCACAGAGCAGGTGAGAGAGGGGAGACTGCAGTTAAATAAATGCACTGTGGTACCCTGGATTCGACACTGGAACAGAAATGCGACACACTCATGGAAAGACTAATAAAGTCTGAATAAATTCTGGAGTTTAGTTCACAGTAATGTGGAAAATGTTGCTTTCTTTATTTCATATACCATGAAAACATAAGAAATTAAGAGTGGGGGACACTGGGTCAGGGGTAATATCTCTCTGTACTGTCTTTGCAACTTTTCCTTAAATCTATAATTATTTCAAAGTAGAAAGCCTATTAAAAAGGAACAAAACCACCATCAAAGAGCAAGGCCATTTCAATTCATAACCCAGAATTCAACGGTTTACTTGTAATAATCATCAAACCTCCTCATCGTAAAATATTAATATTCATATTCTTCTATAAGGTAAATTTATGGTAAATGCAACCCAGGTTTTAAACCCAACACACCCAAAGTTTCCCTTCATGTTCACAACTGCTTTATAGTGTCAATGAATACATTAGCTGGCATCCTAAATCCTTCTGGAACTAGCTTCCTGAAGGCCCGGCAAGGTTATTCTGATGCAGAGTTATATTCTTAAAACAAAACAAAACAAAAGCATATATGCAGTTTTTCCAAGACATAGCTGTGACTTACAAGTGATGCCATCTGAGCATTCTGGAGCATAAACTGCATTTGCTGGGCGAACATGGCTGCGGCAGTCTTTTGTTGAATCAGATTGTTCCGTCCATTAATTTCCAGCTGCGTTTTTAGGTGTGGAGGAGGGTGGAGGTACTTGCAGTTCTCTCTAGCACACCGACCCTACAAATGAATAATGAAGAGTTTGAGGAATGCGGGCTGATATTTGTACAAAGCTGGCAACAAAATAACAAGTTTTTGGAGCTCCAAGCCCCTGGGAGCTCCCGTACGAGGATTTTACATCCTTGGCTCATCTAGTCATCATATCAACCTTCTACGATAGACACTCTTGTAATCTTCACCTTTCAGATGAGGAGACTAAGAGAAATGCACCCAGTTAAAAATGTGACAAAATCAGAACTAAAACCCAGGTAATCAGATTCCAGAACTCATTCTCATAGGCACTTTACTCTGCCCTACTTTGATATGCATTAAATTATGGGCAAAACATAAAATATCAGGAATACTAGGATACCATCACAACATGACAGGTTTAAATAAAAGTTTCCTGATGTGAGATATAAAATCATGCCTGTGAAATTAAGTAAGATTTGGGATTTGGATCTACATCTACAAGCAATCAAGAAAATGGAGGGAAAATGTTAGATAACTATATACACATAAATATACCTTACACATTTTAGATCCATCATTCTGGACAATTTTGGCTCTAAAGTTCTTTTTCCTGAATCCATACAACGTGAGAAACATCCTGGTATCCCCTGACGTTGTGTTCATCAAAGAAGAAATCTTTATACTTGGCACTCATGTTGTTCTTCAGGTTCCAGAAGCAATGGTCCTAGATCACTTGGGTAATTGAGACCAAAGTGTATTTTGGAGTCTCAGCTCTTTCAAAGTCTTATTGATGTGTTTAAGCACTTCCAGACAGGATAAGATGTCAGTCCTGGGCAATCAAATATGTCTTTGGTGTTGCCTAAATGTTGACCTGGCTGCTCATTATGGTGTCTACTACATGATAGCAGAGGACGTCACTGGACAGGGATTTATCACATCATCAAATGTGACCTGTTGTTGTATTTGTTTAACTCATGAGCACTATACAAAGATGCTAGTGATTCTCTCAATCACATTACCAGGTCCACCATAATCCATTTAAGACAAGCACAACTGCCAGCAATTTTTTTTTCTCACAATGCTATTTTTTTTTTTTTTACAGTGTATGAGCTTATTGGAGAGAGGAGTGAAGAAAAAGGGCATTTTTTTTTGACCTAAGAGTGCTAAGGTCAAGAGTGCTAAGCTGCCTGAATCCATAGGAGAAATGGGTTGGTTCACTGAGTGTTTTTGTTTAATGTTTATTCATTTTTGAGAGAGAGAGAGAGAGAGAGAGTCCAAGGGGGGAGGGAGAGAGAGAGAGGGAGACACAGAATCTGAAGCAGGCTCCAGGCTCCAAGCTGTCAGCAGAGAGCCCAACATGGGGCTCCAACTCACGAACTGTGAGATCATGACCTGTGCTGAAGTCGGACACTCAACTGACAGCCACCCAGGCATCTCAGTTCACCGAGTGTTTTTAACACATGCTATGAATTTTCCTTACTTAACATGCCTAAATGGTGTCCACAATCACTTCTCCATATTTAGTTATCTCGTCACCAAAGCATTCCTAGAATTTCACTGCGAATTGAGGTGCATCCTTCAAAACTTTATAGAGCTACATTTAACACAAAGCCAGATGCACTGCAACAGGCCTTTTAAATACCAGATCACAGCCTCCAAGGGGCTCTATCATTTTACTTCTGGCAAGAAGCTGAGTATAACTTGACACATAGCTTGAGAAATTCCAGGAGCCACTATTGTTTTCTGTCAGCTTTGTCCTTTCGTTTCTTCCAATGATCAATTTATTGTTAACCAAATTAAATGATTTATAAAATCAAATAATATCTTAATTTCATTTTTTAGTGTTTTATTTATTTCTGAGAGAGAGAGAGAGAGAGCATGAGCAGGGGAGGGTCAGAGAGAGAGGGAGATACAGAATCCGAAACAGGCTCCAGGCTCTGAGCTAGCTGTCAGCACAGAGCTTGATGCGGGGCTCGAACCCACGAACCATGAGATCATGACCTGAGCCGAAGTCGGATGCTTAACTGACTGAGCCATCCAGGCGCCCCAAATAATATCTTAGTTTCAATGTACCTTCCCATTCCTCTGCATATTCTGGAAAAGGAAGAATTTGTTGGTACTAAGATTTTTCTGATTTCATAAAAGTAGCTTAGGAATAGCTACAGCATTTTGGCACATATAAAGGACTGTTGGGAATCCTTACAATGTGCTAAAAACCACAGTAAAGGTGGGGTTTTATCCCCCATTCATGTGCCTCCTACAAGAAAAATATACAGCTTCCTTTCACACGTATCACAATTTGCACCAAAGCAAAGTCACAAGGATTTCAGCCCCCAGATTCTCCGCCCTCCACCCAGTATAACCGAGGTCCTCTGGCTCCAAATTAACAGCCCCGTGGGAAGCAGTGATGCTTGGTGGCTTCCACAGCCAAGCATGCTAGTTTATACTTCGGGTTTCTCTTCCTTCTCCCACACCCTAACATTAAGAGTTCCCCAAGGTTCAGTCCTAAATCCTCTGCTCTCCTCTCTAATCGCTTTTCTCTGGAGAAATGAAGTTCTTGTAACCTTTCATCTATCACCGCACTGGGCTCAGATGGTAAATCTCCAAACCTACGTCTGCTCCCTCCTCTGAATTTCAGTCCTTCGCCATCACTAACCACAGCTGCATTTGGAGATCCTGCCCCCTAACCAGGTCTAAAGAACTCCCAATCTTCTTTCTCCGTAGACTAGTTTTGCTTTTCTCACATTGTCCCATTTAGGACCACGGCTCCAATTCCCAGGCCGAGCAGGATCGCCTTGGAATTGCAAACCCACCTTGACAGCTGTTCCAGACTAGTGGCAAACACAACCAGAGACGTTTACACGGAACACAGTTTGTAATCCCTTCTGAAACAGCTTTATAAGGAGGGCTGTCTCTTATATTCAAGAGTTCCAAACAATAGATCAGTTTAAACAATAAAAAGAAAAGGAATACATTAGGATTTTATCATTGTTACAATTTAGAGTTTTAACCTCGATTACACTGAATGCAATCAGAGAGAGGGGGGAAGCCAGGAAGGGAGAGAACACGGTGTATTTGGCACTTTTCCTGCCAACCCACAGATAAAGAATTACTGCCTGCCTTTGTGCTTTGAGATTAGTGTCCTTTACATATAATAACTTTTCTTAAACCTTGTCTTGGAAAACTAATGACATTTGGACAAAGCAAAAACAGTACACAGAAACAGAAAAAGAAAAGAGAATTATACTTTAATAATTACATCAACTTGGGCTCTAACACTAAAGTATGGGATATGAGGCAGCATAAGACTTAAAACTACTTATTCATCTTAGTTATGAGATTTTACTTGATTTATAAAGCATTCTGTTTTGAACGGCAGAGTCCATAATTTATTTCTATAACAATGCAAATGTATAGCAATACTACCTCATCAGAGACTGCTGCTTATGTTAAAGAAGGCATATAAAAGACCAAAAAATCTGCATTTTTCTATCCAAACAATAGATGACAGAGACCAAATAATGTAATAGCAATGTCATCCGTGGAACACAACATTTCAAAAGAAAACCAAGCCCCTTAAGTTTTTTCAAAATGACTCTGGAACTCAGAATGACATATTTATATGTATAACATTTGGTGATGACAAATGCCCTCTGTATGTATTCATTCTTCAAGAGGCCCAAACTTAATAATTATAGGTCAAAATACTTTAATTGGAGTTGAGAGTGGGGGGGGATAAACTTTGTTTTTGACATTGGCTAACGTGTGCTTTTGGTCCTTGTAGGGGATTAAGGCTTTGGTAAACAAGCTGGGATGGGTTGGGGTGGAGGCAGGGGAGGGATGACCCAGCACAGTCTGTAATGACCTATTGTTCTTGGCCTTTGGAAAACCAATGGCTAGGGACTAGAAACGTTCCACTGTTTTCTTTACACCAGCTAAGCATTCTGAATGGATCACAAGATATCCTATCACATTGGGTCTATAATATCCCAGACACTATCTTTGTCTCAAAAACATCACCCCTCAGGTTTCCCAAGCTGACTCAATGGTGTCCCAAGCCTTCTAGGCTTGGTCCTTCTAGGTCCTTCTAGGCCGACAGGTTCAGAGTTGCCATGGGCTCAGTGCAATGAAGCAGACCACGGCATAAAGGACTCTATAGGTCTTGTCTCTGTGACAGTTGCCATGCGCCAGCAGAGCTGGCACTATCTGAGAAACAGCAGCTAAGGCTAGTCAAGACAGAGAACTCATTCTCTCCCTCCCTCCCCAAATATACATGGAAAATTAAAGAAGCATCGCAGACATTAAGCATGCAAGTTTATTGATGCTTGCCTGAATTTCACTTCTTTCCCATTTCCTTTGGCCTTAAAAACAAACCGTTTTCATCTGGTCTTTCACTATGTTACCGAGTTAAGAAAACAGCAAAGTGATTCCATGGGAAAGTGGTTCTCTGCTGAACGACGTGCTACTACACCCATGAATCTTCCAGTCCCCCCTTCCCATCTACTCGCTTTGAAATTGCACCCAAAATGCAGCAGGGGGAGAAAATGGCCGGTGAAATTTCAGAAATGCATCTGCCTCAAAAAGTTGATGACAGACAAAGGAAAAAGTTGCAGAGCATTTATAAGACCTCCACAATTCAATCTACTTCCTTTTTCCTACCTTCAGGCTTTTGACAAATGAGTACAAAGCCTTTGACGGAGAGAGAAAAGTAGCATTGTAGAGATTCAAATCCCACCTAAGTCTCGAGAGTTATGAGAGTGAGTCTGTCAGATCCAAGGGTTCCCAGGCACTTCGTGGTAGAAAAACTCTGTGAAATGTACTTTTTTATGTTCCAAAGAGAAAGCTCTACCATCCATCAGAATAAGAAAAGGACCCTAGGAAGCTGAAAATTACCCTTTGTCAGCCACAGTATCTTAACAGAAACAGCTGTTGGCAGAATGACTGGCTTCTTCAGACACATTTGGGATTATGGGGGGAAGAATGTCCTCTCAAATGCAACGATACCCGGATTATCGTTTCAAAGACATCTCACACCTCTGCTAGACTAC